CGGGGCAAGGCCATATGAAGTGAAAAGGTTACAGCACGTAATGTATGCATGTATCATATTACATAATATGATTCTTGAAGACGAAGGAAGAGCGATATGTCGGTACAACGAAAATGAAATTTTGCCAAATGTCGAAGGAGTAGCCGTTGGTACACAAGAGTATAGGGCGAATAGAAGAGAAGTACACAATCGCGGCATTCATCACGCCTTTCGTGCTGATTTGGTGGAACACATTTATAGGGCTTGTATTCAGCCACCGATAGAGTTTTCTCACGATGATTTGTTTGACGAATCAGACGAGGATTCTGATATGTTCGTCGAGAGCGAAGATTCCGATGACGAGAGTGACGTTCGGGAGAATGATGAAGACGATGAGGTCGATGACGAGGACGATGATTCCGAGTGACGTATTTTGTTTTTTTATTAAATTAGGATTCTATGTTGTGGTTAGTTTGATTTTTTGTTTGCGTTTTTTTTTAATTTTCTACTTATTTAAATATAAGGTTTAATATAATTTTGATTTTAATTAATGAAATGCTTTTTATTTTTAATTAAATATTATGTTTATTATTAATTTAAAAATTATAAATCATAAAAAAGAATTAATTTTATTTAAAAAATAAAAAACAAAATAGTGAGGGAAGCTTCCCACCAATTCCTTGGGTTTAGGTGAGAGAAATGAAAGTGAGGGAAAGAGTGGTGTGACCCACAAAAAGTGAGGGAAGCTTCCCACCAATTCCTTGGGTTTAGGTGAGAGAAATGAAAGTGAGGGAAAGAGTGGTGTGACCCACAAAAAGTGAGGGAAACTCCCCACTCATACCCTCCGGTCTAATCATCTTTCTCTCTCTCTCTCTCTCAGGTTGCTTTAGGGGCTGTTTGATATACGCCTGACCGAGTCGGGTCAGACGTATTTGGCTGACTCGGTCAACTGAGATTGTTTGTTAAACCGATTTTGGATGGCTGACCGGATAAGAGAAATCTGAGCGAGAAAGCTTGAGAACAATAGCTGACTGAGAATTTTTCCTAATCTACCCTTGCCCTACAATTCATTTCCAGTGCCTCCGAAAAGATACCATCTCCTCCTCTTTCAGCGACAACCAAGATCCTTTGAGACTGACGATTTGAGTCTGCCCCCCACCAATCGACACCCCTCTTCTCATCACTCATCAGGTACGTTGATCTTCTCCTCTTTCACTTACGTTTTTTTTTTTTTTTCCAATTTTTTCTGCTATGTTCATCTTCTCATCACTCATTAGGTACCTTGTTCTTCGTTAAATTCTGAAAATTTTTCAATAAAGTTAAGCCATGTGCTCAATTTCATCATATATTTTTTTTTAGACTTGTGCTCAATTTCAAGGAGGTTAGAAAGGATAGGTTCAATTTCAACCTGCTGGTAAGGGAAAGGGATGATCGATTGCAACCTACTGGTAAGTCCAATTTCATATTCTGTTTTATAAATCCATGTTTATAAATTATAATCATAAAAAAAGTTTGTTGGTAGTGCTATAACAGATGACTGATGTGGAATTGGAAAATTCTTAAAGTCACAAAACTTTTAAGCTTTTGGAGCTCCTGATGCATGTTATATGTTTGATAAAATGCATGAACCAATATTTAGAGTTTATTAATATGTGTACAAGATACTGTTATATATTGAGGCTTATATGGTGTTACCTTGTTCTTCACTGAATTCTGAAAATTTCTCAATGAGGTTTTATGTACAGAATTCGCAAGGGTAATCTTGCCAAGAAATTTCAAGCATCGTTCAAGGATAACGGTGCAAGCTTCATTTTGTTCTATACATCTATAGCATAGTTATTTGTATATCATATTTTCTCTTTCCCCATGTAAATTTTTCAATGTAATCTGATACTTGATATAAATAATTAAGGTGTTTCTTGATCCATATTCTCACTTGGTTTTACTGTTTTTTAATGCTTATATCAAGTCAAATTATTCATCTTTTTGCATTTGTTTAGACATATGTATATATATCAGGAACTCTTATGTCCTTATTCGTTACGTTATATTAATGAGATGCACTGTTTATCTTGTGAATAAGAAGAACAATATTGTTACTATATATTATAGATAAGTATCTATTATGTATGTTGGACCTTTGTTGCTGCTATTGCATTTTTTTCGTATGTGTTCGGTTTAAAATCAAGTGTCAGATGTACAATCAAGCAGCAAGGTAAAATAGTCATTTTACATCTAGTCAGCACATTCAGTCAGATTTAAAATCAAACAACATTGTTTCTTACTCAGCCATGATTTCTTACTCGGACAGACCTTTTTCAGTAAGCACTTTTTCAGTCAGCAACTATCAAACAGGACATTAATTCTTTTATTAACGTTGATATCACAAAACAATAAATTTTTTTATTAACGTTGATATCAGAAAACAATAAATTTTTTGTTGGAACGACTATTACAATATTAGGAAAAAAATAATAATTCTTTTTATTAACGTTAATTAGAATGTAGTTCATGTTTGTAATCCTCTCTCTCTCTCTCTCTAATTTCATTTAGTGTTTTTTTTCCTAATATTGTATTAGTTGTTCCAATAAAAAATTATTGTTAGGATGCTGTTAATAAGACACCCCACTTCAACTTTTATAAAAAATCAACCTATAATTAGTTATTTATAATCTGTTTTTTCGGAAAACAATACAATTTCAATCAATAAAAATATTTTAAAAATTAATTGTATAATTAATATGGGTGTTACTATGTAACACACCGTCTATAACACTTTATCCTAAATTTAGCTTGTAAAACCCAAACACCAAAAATTTATATGCTCTATTTTCCAATAAATCCCACGTGTATCTATACCATGTGAAGAGTTTTCATTTTTCTTAAAGATATTTTTTTTCTTTCCCCGAAACTTATAACAGTGGAAGGTTATTTTTTTTCTTTCCTTTTCAAAGTTTTTTTTTTCTTATTTTCAATAGAATTTACGTATGTGATATATATTAGTATTAATTAATACAAAAATTCCAAATTCTAATATTTCAAAGAACGAAAACAACATATTATGTAAACATAATAAATTCATTCTGGACCTATAAATTTAGTACATATAATTAGTTAATATAAAAATTATAAATGTTAATATATGAAATCATGAGAAACAACATACTACCTATTTTAAACCAAAATATACCATGTTTTTGTTATATTATATTTAAAATTATATAAAATAAAAAAACTGAAAGGAATAGTGTTGCTAAATACGTGACTGCCGAATTGCCCAAAACATCAACCAACGAAATAAAAGAGGTTAACTTTAATTTAAGAAAAATGATCGAGAACAATTGGTTACAAATGTATATCTTTTGTAAGCATATATAAATTATTATTTTATAAAAATATATTATTTTTGTTTATCTATCTTATGAAAAATAAGCTTGAAATACAAATTAGATGATAATAAAGTTAATAACATTTTAATTAAATATCATAAAATAATAATAAATTTGAATTTTTTTAGATGATAATAATAATAATAATAATAATAATAATAATAATAATAATAATAATAAAAGATAATAATTAATTATAATTTTTTTTTAACTTTAAGCTTAAGTTTAGAATGAAAAATAATTTTTTTTTTCTTAATAAACTTTGATATATATTATAAAACATAAGAAGAAAGTTTTACATAGACGCATCGGATAAACGAACAACAAGTTGTGCCGCAACCCCTTTTTGGATGACAAAACTAATTCTTTTAAAAACAATATCTATAGATATTGGAGTCATAACATTACTATGCATGACCCGTTGGACTCTATTGAGTAGCTCCACGGCTTCTGGCTCAAGGAAACCGAAAGTATCAAATGCAAAGGGCATAAACGTGTGTTGATTTTTCATGCACGATTTCTCATGTTTTGCCACTTTGCTTGATGCAACTTTTAAAGCAGCTTGCCCCAAAGTGAAAACCCCACCCCCCAGACCCACAAGAAGGGAAACCCAGTTTGATCCATGCATGCATGTTTTCCTCCAGCTCATTCAAATACTAAAACATCAGCTGGTCTAAGTATTGATCTTCCTTCCAATGAGTTAGTCAAAAAATAATTTAAAAATAATTTAAAAAGTGGATAAATTATGAACATACACCAACAAAAAATAAAATAAAATGGGCAGATAGGTTTTATGGAGTAAACCTCAAATTAGAAAAACCAAATATCACTCAATTTGCATTTTCTTGGTCAAACAATAATTCAGCCCCAATTTCAAATAAAAACAAAAAAAAGAAGTTGTCATATATATATATATATATATATATATATATATATATATATATATATATATATATATATATATATATATATATATATAGAGACGCCCCCAATAAAAATTAGTCAAAAGTGTTTTATGAAGTAATTAAAAAGCCTAATAGATATATTGGTATGCAAATCTGTATAGATAAATTAGTGTGTGAAAAAAAATTTCCTGTATATAATCGGTTAATTCTACTTTAAATCTCCTATTAACAAATATTACAAATTATATCATATATTTTATGAAAAATGATATAATATGATCACATCTAGTCTAAATTAAATAGGATGCTAATATAGACCGTACTCATATAAAAAAAAAATCAAACACACTCCTACATATAAATCAATAAATAACATTAGACTAGTTGTGCACCTCTAATATATGTAAAACCTAAATATGTGTAGGGCACCATATTAATTATACAATTATAAAACTGGAGATCAAATAAGGACAAGACATAAAGAATAGTATCATGAATTCCTAATCTATCTCCGATTTATTATCTCCTCATATAATAATAAAAGAAAAGAAGTTGTAACAAATATATTTTAATTTGATATTTGTCCAATCAACAAAATCTTCCTGTACAAAAACGCAGCCCTAGTGACCTAGTGTCTGGAATCTTCCTGACACTATATATAACTATTCCTTTCCATACAAAATACGAACAAAAATTTCATCCAATTTTCCGATCACTGCAAACCAAAATGAGGGTTTTAGCAACACCTTTCACTGCTCTTCTTCTCCTTTTCTTCATCATCTCTGCACCACCCACTTCCACCACCGCGGAGATGCAGTCTCCGGCGACCCAGCCTGATAACCTCGCTCCCGCTCCCTCCCCTTATGCTCACTCCTCCTTCCATAAAACGTGCTCTCTCTACTCATTCTTCAACGGGAACTGCTTCCCTCAGCTCTCATCTGTTTACTTCGCCTTTTCCATCGTTTATCTGTGCTTTCTAGTGTATTGGATCTCGGTTTGCTTCAAGGTCAAGCCAACTTTTCGCCGGATTCATCTACTAATGGCTGGATTGGTTGTAGTGAAGGCACTTAGCTTGATCTATGAAGCTGTTAACGTTACAGGTACTCATGGATCGGATCTCTTCTTCTACATTTCTAAGTTCATCCGAGTTGTCCGTTTGTCCATTGTGATCCAGCTAATCGCTTCTGGTTGTTATTTCATGGAGCCGATTATGCAAAATGTGGATAGAATCGTTTTACTGTTTTTGATCCCTCTTCAGGTTTTAGCAAATGTAGTTAAAACAGTGATTGGGGATTCTAGCGATTCCATTAACGACTGGATGAATCTGGTAGATCTAATCACTTGTAGTCTCATGATATACCCCATTATTTGTTCGATGGTGTCGATGTGCACTGGTGGGATGAGCGCTAAGAATTTTGAAAGGTTGAATGGATTTAGGTACTTCTATATGATTGTTGTGCTTTATTTGCTGTTTGTTAACGTTGTTGTGGAACCTGTGAGAAAGAATGGTGCTATTGGATTAAACGCCATTGATGCTGAGGAGTACCTGTTGAAGGCTAATGTGGTGTTTGAATTGAACAGTCTGAATTTCTACATGATCATCTGTAGCATGTTCAAGAAACAGTTTACCCTTCTTGTCGATCGTGATGAAAATAAAATTGGATGCGTGGAATCAGGAATTTGATGATCAATCTTCAACTTTCAATAAATGGAGGATCACTAGCTCTTGTTTAGTGATATTCATACTAAAGTACTAGTATTAAGTTGTCGAATTAATCTTCAAGTAGTTTTAAACTTTCAATTTTCTTGTAGTTTATTAATCTTCAAGTAGTTTTCTCGTGGAACAATTTGATGTAATTTGGTATTAATGATCAGTTTTTTCGGAGTAATTTCTGCATGTTAAACCAACAAAAATAATTGTTGATGTAATCTGATTCAATCTTTTTCATATTTACGTATTATTTTAGATAAGGAAAAAAAAAAAAACACAATGTGAAAAAATTTATTCTCAAAATTAAATTGTTAACGTGTCATCGTAAATATCTCCATATTGTATTACTTTTTCAAATGTATGTGGTTGTTGGCGTCAAAAACTTAATGTCATAAACCATCGCCGGTCCATTAATTCTTTGGATGGTTGTAGTCACTAAAAGCCCAAATTTAAATATCTAATTACCTAATAAGATTAGAAAATGACACAGTTGCTAATACGAGTAACATAGCTAGCTTTAAGCCTATTTATTTATTTAAAGGCGAAATCATAAGATGTTTTTAAGTTATTTCAATTTGTTTGTTTACCAAGATATAAAATTTGGAAAACAAATGAACCATTGTTAAAAAAATACAAAAAAATCCAACAAAATATTGTTGTCTTTGACAAATTTTTATAATTTCAACAACACTTTCTATAAAAATAATTAAAAATACAATAATTATAATAGTATTCAAATAAAAAAAAATGTTAAAGTTTGGTGCCTTTAGTGAAAAAGATATAATCTTATCAAGGTAATATATTGAACCGGTAATAGATAGTCACAATGGTTTGGATTTTTTTACAAGCATTAATGGTATTTTAGAATGAAGTAAAATTTTGATCAAACTATAATGGATTTCTGTTGTCGGATATACACAGTTTATACTGTTGAGAAACCTTAAAAGAAATTGGCCATAATAAATTTATAAAGTTGTAAAGGTTATAATGTAGATGCTTAAAAATCTTAATTAAACTTCAAACCTTCAAAACACTCCTACAAATGATGGTTTATGTTTTCGGGTATACACAAATTATATTGTCAAAAATGTGGTGCAACTACTACTTCAACAAACTGTAAAGATCTGCTTTCAACTTGCTCAAACTAAGGAGACGTATTCTTGCTTGCCCAAGTTGATGAGATATTGCTACTGCTTCATGCTTTTATATTTACCCTAATTAATATTTTGGCTTTTTAAACAATTTTATTTTATGTAATTTTATATGTTTCAAAAGCTTCCAACTATTTTTATCAAAATTTTAATATAAAAAATAAAAGTTACATTTTCAAACTTCTAACTACTAGCTAATTACCAGCTAGTTTTTGTCAAACATGTTGTCGTTATCATTAGTGGCGGAATTTCGAGTAGTTTAATTGTTCTATGTTTCAAACAAAATTTATGGATATTTTAACATCCTAGAAAATATATATTTTGATTTCTAAACTTATATTTATTTATATTATACTATGATAATTTTTGTCTACTAATTAACTATCAAGAAATTTACAAATTAAATTATCCAAGCAATTAACATATTAATTAGTATCTGAATATTTAAGAAAACAGAACCACATTTCTTAAAAACGGATTATGTTTTATTTATAATTACAACCATAAAAATTGCCCTCGTTGCACATCTTATGATAGAATTATGTTATACGTGTATAAAGTAGGTTTATGCATATCTCTACGTAGATCAACTTTTTCACACTCCCATTTTCTTTATCAAACATTTTAGTGTCTAAAATATTTTTCTTCGTGAAGGCATGCAAACGTATTTGGGAAAAAGAAAGTAGCATGCAGAAATAGCACCATTTACATGTAACTTGCACCAATTAAGTAACATGCACATATAGAAAGGAGAAAGAAAAGTGCCAAGAATAGAAAGGATTGGGACTGGAGTAATGGATGCAGCATATATAGATGACTTTTGCAGCAATGCAGTAGCCGACATGTATATATATGCAGACATGGAACAAGAATCTAATTAATTTCTGTAGATTTTAATTTTTTTTTTTTTACAAAATCAATACCTATATAATCACAATAAAACCCTCACTTTTCATTCAATTTTACACTCTCATTCTCTAAACCAAAAAACAAATGGATTTCTTTAAAATTTTTGATTCGGATGATTACGGATAATTTATCTTGACCTTCTTGAACATTGTGCAGCCCGTTCACAATGAAGAAAGTTCGAATGTTCTCGAGAGCGCTCGTCAATGGTGATCGCCAAGCAACACACGACTTATTGTTACGTGAATACACTGCCGATAATTGTCTTTACAATGATGACTTGTTCGAACATCCTTTTCGTCTAAATAAAGCTATATTTTTACGTATTAGTAATGTCTTAGAGGTCTGTTATGATTTTTTCAAACAAAAACCCGATGCTAGAGAAATAATGGGTTTTTCTAGTATATAAAAATGTACGGGTGCGCTTAGGTATCTGGGATACGGTATAACATTTGATGTATCGGACGAGTACTTAAAGATATCTGAGAGGACCGCAATTGATTGTGTAAATTGGTTTTGTGTATGTGTATTGAAATTCATAACAGTGAAGCGTGTTTTAATTTTCAGGAAGATGTCGTGGAACATTTGTACCAACTCAACATAAACGAATATTAGTTTTTTTTTTTTTTTTTTTTTTTTTTCTTTTTACTTATGTTTGTTTTTTTTTTAATTATAGTTATTTAAGTAATGTAATGTTTTTTTTTTAATTCTAGGTTAATTAAGTAATATAGTTTGAAATTGTATTTTTATTTTTATAATTAATGAAAAGCTAGTTAAAAAAATTCAATGTTTTTTTTTTGTTTTTTTTTTTTTTTTTTTTTTTTGTATTTTTGAATTAAAAAAAAATGATATGGAGTGGAATGGTTGTGTGGGTATCCCATAGATTTAGTTAGTGGTGAAGTGACTCATAATTTGGAAATTGTCGAGGTGTTCTTGGGTATTGTCGAGGTGTGCTTGGGTAATTGGGGTGTTTGTGTTACAGTTTGTTGGTGGTGTGTTTGGATTTTGGTCCGTTAATTGGGAAAAAGAAAATAGACGCGGAATGGTTTTGTAGAGAAAGAGAGATTGTAGTGTGAAAATAAAGTGTAGAGTTGAGGTTTATTTATTAATTGTAAGTGTAATTGTAATAATTTTGGGTGCTATATATGGTGTCATCTATTTAATACGGGCTGTTAATTAGAGATGGTGGGACAATTATCATGCATGAAGCATAATTAACCTTCAAGACATTCATTAGGTAGAGTTTAATATGTAGTTATAAAATCAACATCAAATAATTAAGAATGCAAGTCGAGACATTTTGACATAGAAAAAGTTGGCGACAAAAACAGAAGAAAAAAAAAATTACATCAGAATCATACTGTTCCAGAAAAACTACTAAAATATTAAGTTGAAAACTCATGGGTATCACCGGTTAAAAGCTCAAACTCAAACTCCTAATCCCGGACAGGCACCACGGGTACTTGAAGATTAAGTCGAACTAAATATTCGTTTCTCTCAAATGGCCGGAACAAGGAAAACATTATGATATAGAACAAAAGACTGATTGTTTCTGCTGCCATTGCCCATAAGTAATTGCAATTTACACTGTTCCCAACTCCGTAAACAAAAACATTGATGGAGTACACAATAAGCACTATATAGAACAGCGAATATAGAATGAAGTGTGCCAAATAACTCTTAACTGCCTGACCAATCTCTAAAGTCTTGCGACTCACAAATCCAGTTAGCAAGACCTGACAAACGTGGTCTGCCATCCATATACCCAAGTCCGAAAAGGAGTTCTCAAGTAAAACGTGAAGTGCCGTTTGAAAAGCAAACGTAGACAAAACTTGGAGTGGAATGAGAATCATTGAAAAGAGCATTACTTGAAAAGACCACCCCTTAGAGATCGCGATCACAGTGTAAAGAAGCATGGTCCTGATAACCGGAAATATGTAAAGCAAGACATTCCATCCATGCGGAGGAGTACCTGTAACCTTTATGGAATGTTGGACCTCGGATGCACATAGTAAGTTAAGCCCCTTCATAATAAGCAACATACCCATTAGTAAATGAATCCAGTGAAAAGATGGATAGTTCTTGAAGCATACGAAGATCCAACAACCTAGAAAACACAGATAAACGAGGGCAAAATACAAGTAAAGAGACCGAAGCTTTGTTAGCCCGGCTGAATAGTCTTTGGTAGTGGTGTTGTGACTCGCAGCATAAGATTGTTTGAAGGAAGACAGAGGAAGGAGGGAGAGACCTTGGAATGTAAAGATAATTGAGATGAAGAAGAAGAAGACAAGAATAACAGTAAGAATTTTTAGGAAATTCCTCATGGCGGCTGACGGCGGAGGAACACCCATACCGAATATCGACGTAAGAGATAATGCCATCTTCATTGAAAGGTTCGTATATATAGGATCTGAATGTAAGCCTAAGCTATGTAAGTAAGGAAAGTGTATCAAAAGAAGGATATGTATATATCCCATAATCATCCTAGATTCCTACTAATCTCGATCATTCTGGACTTCCCTTTTCAGATAGATAGCATAAACTAAATTGTGGGATTTAATTTTTCTTTTTGAAATCTCAAATTAATTTCTCTCCCCATATCTACCCTACGATTTTTCTACCATATATAATATCCTCCTATCAAAAATCAAAATTCCGCCAATCTCGCCTTCTCCCACCATTTAATTAATTAGGATGTTTATCTTATCTGATTTCACCCTCCTACCCTCGTAAGGCACCATCGACGTAATGGACTCATCTACCAAGTCATCTAAGTTGCAAATACGTGGAGAGTGTTGGTATGTTTTGCGTATTATTAATTTGATATATCTTGTTCGTAACTATAAACTTCGTTCATGCCTTGATCTATGGTGTAAAACCAATTCGCCACTTTTTTTTTTTTTTTTTTTTTGCTGAAACCGGCATATATATTTGAGAAACAAAACTTACTTCTTCCTTCAAAATCAGGATGATTAGATGAATTATGTTGTTTTTATTTTTGTTAAGAAAGAAAAACGATGCCAACAAAAGTAGTCGTAAGATTCAAAGAATGTATAGATGTGTTTGCTCGGCTTTCTTGTTTCTTTGTAGGTGCAGCTGCCCTAGATGACATATGGAAGAAATACGGAGTGGTAATATTAAAAATCAAGCAAAATGGAATCAATCATGCTTTAGAGGATTGTCCATGGTCATGGATTGATAAAATCAAGTAATAAAAACTTATCTTTTGTTAGGCTGGAAACATCAACCATATTAAAATCAAATAATCAAAAATTTCTTATCCTGCCAGTCAAAATCAAGTTTGTAGTTTTGTGTAAACATCAAAGTCTTTAAATGAAATTTTGAGGACTACGAAATTTACATTTCATATAGAGAGTAAAGGAATTAAGTTTGTGGACATTAATTTTTCATTTGTCATCACTCTTAGTTTGCGAGGATGGGGATGCCGATGATCGTGCTAATAAGAATTGAAGTATTAACACTAACATTTACCCCCTCAAACTGACCTTAAAAAAAAACATACCAAAATCAATTTTTCTTAGATAAAACCAAGGACTATGTTGTTGCAAAGCATAAGCACTCTTAAATGCTTAAAAGTGCCCATTTGTAGCAAACTTATTCGCACCAACACCAAAGGATTCATCTAAATCATCAAAGTTCTCACCGATAGGTTTAAAGTTCAAGCTCTAATTCATTGTTCTCATCAATATTCTTGATTTTCCCTATTTCTAATTCTTTCTTCTTCTTCTTTGTTATCTGATCTCTTTGAGATGGACATGCACAAATATGTGAAAGTAGCCTATCATGGATTCAGGTACATATCAAAGAATGAAAAGGTTGCCATATAAGGGAATAGCATTCTCCAAGATGCATTTCATGGGCCTGATAATGCACATATTGATACCCTTTTTCTCGTTAGTTGAAGCATATTTTTTTGATCAGCTGGTTGACTTCAAGGACAACAACCCAGGGAAAATATCAGAAGAAAAAGAGTAAGGAGTGCAGAAAACTTACAACTTATTAATTTTCTTAACTGCAAATACAACCAACTAAACATATTTCCAATTTTTGGTTGATGTTGTAGTTGTAATTGGCTCATAAACATTCATTCAATATGTTGTGGGATTCACTTGATTGCTATTAACTTTCTAGAATTAAATGGTGCTTTTCAAATTCAAGGATGGTAACTTGGTAAGAATGATTTGGTTGTATAATATATTTTGAGAATGAAAACTGATTCTATTAATTGAGAAAACGCGATTACAATCCTTATATTTATAGGGTAAACAAATAATTCTAAACTGAATCTAAAACTAGATAAGGAAGGACTGAATACTTAGGAAACAAGTAACCTTGTGGAATAAGGAAACGTGATATACATCTCAACACTCCATCTCAAGTTGGATTGCAAAGAACACGAACATCCAACTTGCTACAAAGAAATTGAAAACGATGAGGACCAAGAGCTTTGGTGAATAAAATAGCAGTCCATTTCTATATGTTTCGTCCTTTTAGGAAAAATAGGATTAACTACAATATGACGCACAACTTCATTATCGATCACAGATTTAAGGAGTGCCGTCATGTTGGGTAGCATCCAAATCTTGTAAGAGCCATCTTAGCGACAATACTTTACAAAAAATAGTTTTCATAGCCCTTTATTTCGCTTATGCTGAAGATCGAGCTACTAAACTTTGTTTCTTGGTCCTCCACGACAATGGTGATCCTCCTAAACTCATGAATTATCTAGTGCAATATCGTCTAGTCGTGGGACAACTCAACTAACTCACATCATAATATGCTGAAAAAGATTAAGATTACTAGTAGCAGGTAAGAACAACCCTTGTCCAGATGTGCCCTTTAATTAACGTAAAACTTTGAGAATAGGTGGATGCTGGTCGATCGTCCCTGGCTGAGACGGATTTCGCGGGCCTCTTTTGCTTGGGAGAGTTGGATTATGATGACTTCCCCCCGTTTTGTAGAAGGCCGGATCCAGGAGGTTCTTCCTCATATTCCGAGGGCTATTTTGTGTTTTGCCCTTTTGTCTGTTGTGTAGTTGCCTTTGTATGTATTATGGATATAATAAAGAATGTTAGCTACCATAAACTATGTACTTTGTTTTGTACTTTGTATGGAAGTGTTCTCTTTCGTTTTCTCTTTGTATGTATACACATTGTTCTGGCATGTTAACACGTATATCATGATTTGTCTTGTGATGTCGTTGAGGACAGACAATTTTGCTGCACACTCCTTTGTTCTAGGGTTTGCGTGCTTTCGACATCGCATATTCGCTATTATTGAGCTATGCTCTATTGGCTCGTGTGTTTAGTTAGGCCTAATGTGTTAAGCCATGCAATGTTAGTCACTGATGAAGACTGTATTGTATGGTCTAGCTGCCAATACATAGGCCGAGGTCGTCACCTCAAGGCCTTTTACTGTTGTGAAATCAGGGGAAAGGTTACAAATCTTTTAGAACCCCTTGTACTGTGCCGTTACTTTTTATTTATACATTCTCAGTTCTGAGATGTTTATTGGTACATTGCAGGTAAAGATTATGACTCTTTTAAGAGCTACGGTTGCATCCTTGCATGGATTTTGCTCAAGTAGCATAGGTGATCAGCCGTTGTTACTACTTGGAAAATATGCACAACCTCTATACTTTGTGTTTTTGCAATACATAATTCTGGAAAGCTTTTTCAAGAAGCAAATTATACTATTTCTAGATAGAAAAAAGGAAAGACATGAGACAGTAGACCCTGAATATCTAAATGTCAGGGCGTAGGCCCGGTCTTTGCTTCAGCGCCTGGAGTATGGTTATCCTGTGTAGAGTTAGACCATACTCCTTGTTAGGCTTTGAAATCTTTTCTACACCTGATGAATGTGAGTCTTCATAGGTTGGGGCTTCCTCTCTTTTTCCCCAGCGAGGCTCGGCACAGGGGAGTGACTTGTTCTTTTTCGTATGCTGGGGGTGCTTCCGTCTGTCTTTCTTTGCGACTCGGTGCATGTTGCAGCCGTAGGAAGCACCTCCCCTTGACCGAGTGAGAGTACCACCTGCGCGTTTCAGCATACCCATCCTCCGTGCATTTTACTTTGAAGGTGCTGTTTTGCCTACCGGGGGCCTTTGCAAGCGTTCTTCTATGGGAAAAACTACACGTTAAGGAGAACGGAATTCCAACTCCGTTGTTGCTATTTTTTTGCATTTGCGTCTTCCGTTCTGAGGAAACTTGGTTCGTGCCTGACACCGGCCAAGATTTGCTTCGAAGTCCAAGTTGTTCTTCTGCTGGGAATCGCCTGGTCGTCAATTGTGGTCCGAGCAGGTGCCTTTGCTTGCGAGCAATCGTTTCTCTGTATTCTGGCTGAGCGATTCTTGGGTCGGCGTTAATTCCCTCTCGTGGGAGAGACGTTGTGAGCCGACTGAACACATCTCGCCGCCTTTTCCTGGATTCGCAGACTGGCTCCTGTACCACGACTAGTTTCCTGTGCGGGCCTTCCCTTCTTTGGCGACATCCGTTTTGGCGTAATTGGGTTTCTTGCCTTGCTCCTCGTTGGGTATCGAGCCCAATTATCGGCATGTTCGCCACTACTGCTGCAGACCCATGGCTCGTGCTGAATTTGAGAACACCAAGGAGGGTAGATGGAATTGCTTGCAGCTGGTAAAGCGCGGGCCGGCCTAGGAGAACGTTGTGCTCAACCTGGCATTCGACAACCGAGAATTCGAGCACCCTCGTCATCTCTCTGGCCCATCGTGCCTGACCAGTGTGAATGGGAGCTTGACTGTTCCCACTGGCTAAACGCCGTGACCTTTGAATCAAACTAACAGGCCCTGGCGCGACGGCTGGACGTGCTCTTTCCAGTCGATTAGCAGTTGACGAAGGCAGTGTTTGTAGATCACGTTGACACTGTTCCCGTTGTCAATGTACACTTGTTCCACACGGTGTTGACCGACGAAGCTAGTGACATGCAGCGGATCATTGGGGTCCTATTATTCTAGCCTAGGGTTGTTCACTGAGAATTCTATGTTGATCATGTTTTGGTGGTATACATGTGCGCCTACGTACTGGCTGTGGCGGTTGCTACATGGACGGGGTCCTGAGATGGTGAGTATCTCGGCCCTTCTTTCGTTAACCTTGCCCCCGTCTTTTTGATTTTTGGGCGAGTACTTGTCCCCATCAAATCTCGCCCTGAGGTCCTTTTGCTATGTTGACTATATTTCCCACCAATTGTTTCTCATCAATCTCCCGCTTCAACACTATACACTCGTTGGTGTCGAGCGTTTTGCTTCAATGGTACTCGCAGAACTTGGTTTTTTCTTTGTTCTCCTTGGCTGGAGTCTTATTGATTGCGTGGACAT